TCCTGCTAAGGGCACGTACCTCGGTTGCAGTTTGTCCCCAGCCCTAGTTGGGTCGTGTGGGTGGCAACCACTCGATGTGTCCCTTTCACGTCGATGTTTCTCTCTCTCTCTCTCTCCCACTCTATCTGAACAAACTATCAAAAAATGTCCTCAGGTAAGGATAAAAAAAAAAAAATGGACGAAAGACTTAAATGTAACCTGTGAAACCATAAACACCCTGGAAGAAAATATAGGCAGAAAAATCTCAGACATCATACATAGCAGAATTTTCACTGATAGACATCGCCTAGGGCAAGAGAAAAAGAAAAAAATTAATAAACAGGACTACATCAAACAAAAAAGCTTCTGCACAGCAAAAGAAACCAGCATCAAAATGAAAAAGGAACTCACTCTCTGAGAGAACATATTTGCCAATAATATATCAGATAAGGGGTTAAATAGCCAAAATATATAGAGTGCTCATACAACTCAACAAAAGACAGACAAATAATCCAATTTAAAATGGGGGCAGAACACCTGAATAGACACTTCTCCAAACAGGACATATAAATGTCCAGGAGACATATGAAAAAACGCTCAGTATTTCTAATCATCAGAGAGATGAAAATTAAAACGATAATGAAGTATCACCTCAAACCTGCCAGAATAGTGGCAATCAACAAATCCTCAAACAATAAGTGCTGGTGAGGATGTAGAGAAAAGGGTATTCTAGCACAATGCTGGTGGGAATGCAGACTGGTGTAGCCACTATGGAAAACAATTTGGTGTTTCCTCAAAAAATTAAAAATGGAACTGTCATTTGACCCACTAATCCCACTTCTTGGAATATATCCTAAGAAGCCTGAAACACCAATCAGGAAGAATATATGCATCCCTATGTTCATAGCAGCACTATTTACAATAGCCAAGATCTGAAAACAACCCATGTGTCCATCAGTAGATGAGTGGATAAAAAAGCTGTGGTACATTTACAAAATGGAATACTATGCAGCTGTAAGAAAGAAAGATCTCTTACCCTTTGAGACGACATGTAGGGACCTGGAGAGTAGTATGCTAAGTGAAATAAACCAGTCAGAGAAAGACAAATACCAAATGACCTCACTTATTTATGTAATATTATGAACAGAATAAGCTGTCAACCAAAAGAGATCCAGAGTCATGGAAGTAGGGAATAGTCTAACAAACCTCAGAAGGATGAGGGGGTAGAAGGGGTGGGAATAGATTAAACCGAAGAATTTATATGCATATATGCACAACCAGTGGACACAGACATTAGGTTGGGGAAGGCAGGAGGGGATTGGGAAGCAGGGGGTCAATGGGGGAAAAGTGAGACATCTGTAATACTTTCAACAATTAAAAAAAAAAATCCTCAACAATAAGAAAATAAACAACCCAATTAAGAAATGTGCAAAAGAGATATCAAAGTTACAACTAAACTACAGAACAACCATCATTCAAAACCGCCTGAAATCAAGCTGAATGGAAGTCCTACAACTACGGAATTAAAGCAGCAGCCACACTGAGACTAGTAGGAGGGGCGGAGGCTCGAAGGGCTGGTCCCACCCCCATGTGTAGCGGATAAAAATCAGGAGGATAGCCCTGGCTGGTTTGGCTCAGAGGTTAGAGAGTCGGCCTGTGGTTGAGAGAGACCTGGGCTCGGTTCTCGCTAAGGGCATGTACCTCGGTTGCAGTTTGTCCCTGTCCCTGGTTGGTCATGCGGGTGGCAGCCAATCGATGTGTCTCTTTCACGTCAATGTTTCTCTCTCTCTCTCCCCCTCCCACTCTATCTGAGCAAAAAATGGAAAAGTGTCCTCGGGTGAGGATAAAAAAAAAAATCAGGAGGATACCTCGGCTGGAAAGGTCCTCCCTGAGGACTGAGGGGTCCCTGTCCCACACCAGACACCCTGCTCAGGGTTCCAGTGCCAGGAAGAGAAGTCCCCATAACTTCTGGCTGGAAAAACCAGCGGGAACTGAGGCTTACGGAGGCTGAGGCAGCTGAAGCCCCAGGCAGCTCTTTAAAGGGCCAGCACACAGACTTATTGGACTCACTTCCTCTAAGCTTGGAGGGGAGGCAGCTCGAGGGGCACTAGAGACATACAGGGAAGAACTGAGCTGCTTGGCACTGGAGTGAGGGCTGGAGAGGAGGCTTTCTACCGGACAAACGGACAAACATGCTGTCAGAGGCCTTTGTTCCTTTGGTGAGCCCTTCCCTGGGGTGGCAGACAGCTGCCATATCTGGAACTCCAGCAACCTGGCTCACACTGGTTGCCCCACCCTGGTGATTCCCTGAGGCCCCGCCCCACCCAACTTTCAGGCCCACCCAAGCTGTTGCCAGTTGCTTCACCATAGGATTGGCCTGTAGTGGATCCTGCTTCGGGTTTTCCTAAATTCTTTCAAACAAGCAGCATCTGGTCTCAGATAGCCCCATACCTCAAGTTAAGTAATACCCAGAAACAAACACAGGGAGGCAGCCAAAATGAGAAGACAAAGAAACAGGTCCCAAATGAAAGAACAGAACAAAACCCCAAGAAAAGAACTAAGTGGAATGGAGATAAGCAACCTAACAGATACTGAGTTCAAAATACTGCTTCTAAGGATGCTCAATGAATTTAGTGAGAACCTCAGTGAACTTAATGAGGGCCTCAAGAGCATAAAAAAGGACCAGTCAGAAATGATGGATGCACAGTCAGAAATGAAGGAGGCACTAACTGAAATAAAGAATAATTTACACAGATTCAATAGTAGAGTAGGTAAAGCCAAGAAGCAAACCATCGATTTGGAATATAAGGAAGCACAAAACACCCAATCAGGACAGCAAAAAGAAAAAAGAATCCAAAAAAATGAGGATAGTGTAAGGAGCCTCTGGGACAACTTCAAGCATGCCAACATTCGCATCTTGGGGGTGCCAGAAAGAGAAGAGAGAGAACAAGAAACTGAAAACCTGTTTGAAACAATAATGGCAGAAAACTTCCCTAACTTGGTGAAGGAAACAGACATACAAGCCCAGGAAGCACAGAGAGTCCCAAACAAGATAAACCTCAAGAGGCCCACACCAAGACACATCATCATCAAAACGCAAAAGGTTCAAGACAAAGAGAGAATCTTAAAAGCAGCAAGAGAAAGGCAGCTAGTTACCTACAAGGGAGTTCCCATAAGGCTGTCAGCTGATTTCTGAAAAGAAACTTTGCAGGCCAGAAGGGAGTGGCAAGAAATATTCAGAGTGATGAAAGCAAGAACCTACAACCAAGATTACTCTATCCTGCAAAGCTGTCATTTAGAATCAATGGCCAGCCCTGGCCGGTTTGGCTCAGTGGTTAGAGTGTCGGCCTGCGGTCCGGAGAGACCCAGGTTTGGTTCCCGCTAAGGGCATGTACCTTGGTTGCAGTTTGTCCCCGGCCCTGGTTGGTCGTGTGGGTGGCAGCCACTCGATGTGTCCCTTTCACATCGATGTTTCCCTCTCTCTCTCTTCCTCTCTCTCCCTCGCACTCTGTCTGTACAAAAAATGGAAAAATGTCCTCGGGTGAGGAAAAAAAAAAATAGAATCAATGGCCATATAAGGAGTTTCCCAGACAAGAAAAAGTTAAAGGAGTTCATCACCACCAAACCATTATTATATGAAATGATGAAGGGTTCTTTTTGAAGAAAAAGATAAAACATATGAACAAACAAAATGGCAATGAATACATATCTATCGACAATGGAATCTACAAACAAAATGAACAGGCAGAACAGAAACATTTTCATAGATACAGAGAACATTTTGTGGGTTGCCAGATGGGAGGGGGTTTGGGGGAATGGGTGAAAAAGGTGAAGGGATTAAGAAGTACAAATTCACTGCTAGACTGACAGACCTCAAAGGGAAAGGGGTCGGAGGGTGGGAATAAACAAACCAAAGAACTTATATGCATAACCAATGAACACAGACAATAGTGTGGGAAAAGGCGGGAGAGGGGCAGGAGCGGGGAGGAGGGTGTCAGTGGGGGAAAAATGAGGAACATCTGTAATACATTCAACAATAAAGATTTAAAAAATTTAAAAAAAGAAGTGTGCAAAAGATATCAACAGATATGTCACCAAAAATACATACATGAAAAATAAGTATATTAAAAAATGTTCAATTCCTGGCCGGCATAGTTCATTGGTTAGAGCATTGGCTTATGCACTGAAGGGTTGTGGGTTTGATTCCCAGTCAAGATAACGTACCTGAGTTGAGGGTTCGATCCCCAGCCTGGGAGGGGTGCATGCAGGAATCAACCAATCAATATGTCTCTCTCTCACATCAGTGTTTCTCTCTTGCTTCCTCCCTTCCACTCTAACAATCAATGAAAAAATATCTTTGGGTGAGGATTAACAAAATAAATAAAGATGTTCAACATCAAATGTCATTAGGGTTGCAGATTACAACATGGAGATATTATCACACGCTTATTAGAATGACCAAAATCCAACACACTAGCAATATCAAATGTTGATATGAATGGGGAGCAACAGAAACTCTCATGCATTACTGGTGGGAATGAACAGTCACTTTGGAGGGCTGTTTAGTAGTTTTTTTAAAGAAAACTAAACATACTTGTCCTGGCTGGGTGGCTCAGTTGGTTGGAGCATCACCCCATACACCAAAAGGCTGTGGGTTCGAGTCTCGCTCAGGGCACATACCTAGGTTGCACATTTGATCTCCAGTCAGGACACATACAGGATGCAACCAATTGGTATTTCTCTCTCACACGGATGTTTTTCTCTCCTGCTTCTCTCTTTAAAATCAATAAAAATATATCCTCTGGTGAACATTAAAAAAAAACCTAAACATATTCTTATCATACAATCCATCAATCATATTCCTTGGTATTTATCGAAAGAAGTTAAAAATTTAAGTCCACATGAAAACCTGCATACAATGTTTATAGCAGCTTTATTCATAATTGTCAAAATTTGGAAACAATTAAGATGTCCTTCACTAGGTGAATGGATAAATAAGTGGTGTTACATTCAGATAATGGAATATCCAGTGCTAAAAAGAAATGAACAAACTCACCATAGTCTATCAGATCCAGTTTATCATTATTTGCTGATAGACTTTTTTTTAAAAATATTTTTTTTTTACTGATTTTACAGAGAGGAAGGGAGAGAAAGAGAGAGAAAGAAATATCAATTGGCTGCCTCCTGCATGCCCCCCACTAGGGATTGGGCCCAAAACCTGGGCATGTGCCCTTACCAGAAATCGAACCCGCGACCTCTTGGTGCATGGGTCGATGCTCAACAAGTGAGCCACACCAGCCGGGCCTGATAGACTTTTTTTTGTTTGCTTGTTTTCAGTTCTTTCTATTGTATGTATGTTCTCTAAACCCCAAGTAGATTCCTAACTGTGACTTTCAATTTAAGATGAGAAAGTGTTTAAAACAATGAAATAAATAGTGATTTCAAATACAGGTCTCAGAAATTGTTCAATGAATCAGAACAGAAGTAACATGGACATTTCAACTGCTGGAAACTATTCAAACATGTTTCATGAATGCTGTTATTTAGAAAAACCTCAAGTAACCCAGAGCTGTACTCACACTTACCACACAGAGAGGCTGAGGTAAGGTTGATACTGTTTGTGGATCTACTGATCCATCCTCTCTCCAAACTTGTAGCAGACTATATAAAAAAGCAGGGTTTAGAGTACACACTTTGAAGAGACAGCATTCATATAAAATACATAACATAATGGGGCCTGGAGTCGCATAAGGGCTTAGAATGATTCCTCTTCCTCTAAACAGCTATATTTATAGTTTAGTGGTTAACAAAGGCTTTGGAACTTTCTAGGTTCAAAACATAGCTCTTTGGGCAAGTAATCTTACCTCAGTTTATCCAGAGGACCTGAGTGGACATTCTCCAAAGAGGACATACACATAGCCAATAGACATATGAAAAGATGCTCAACATCATTAACCATCAGGGAAATGCAAACCAGAACCACAATGAGATCTCCTTCATACCTGTTAGAATGGCTATCATCAATAAATCAACAAACAAGTGTCGGCGAGAATGTGGAAAAGGAACCCTTGTGCACTGCTGAAGGGCATGTAAATTCAAGCAGCCACTATGGAAAACATTATGGAAGGTCCTCAAAAAATTAAAAATAGAATTACCATATGACCTATCAATTCCATTTATGGGTATTTATCCTAAGAAATATAAAACATCAATTTGAAAATAAAATATGCACCCCTATATTCATTGTAACATTACTTACAACAGTCAAGTACGGAAGCAACCTAAGTGTCCACCAATGATGAATAGATAAAGAAGATGTGCTACATATATAAATAGAATATTACTCAGCCATAAAAAAGAATGAAATCTTGCCATTTGTGACATATAAATAGACCTACATGGTATTGTGCTAAGTGAAATATGTCAGAGAGACAAATAACATATGATTTCACTTATATGTGGAATCTAAAAAATAAAATAAATGAACAAAACAGAAACTCATAGATACAGAGAACAAATACATTGTTTCCAGATGGGAGGGGTGTTGGAGAGATGGGTGAAAAGGTGAGGAGATTAAGAAGTACAAATTGGCCCTGGCCAGTTTGGCTCAGCAGTTAGAGAGACGCTGGTTTGGTTCCCACTAAGGGCACATACCTCGGTTGCAGTTTGTCCTCGGCCCCAGTTGGGGTTATGTGGGTGGCAACCAGTCGATGTATTTCTCTCACATCGATGTTTCTCTCTCTCTTCCTCCTTCTCTCCCTCCCTCTCTATCTGAAGATAAACGCAAAAATGCCTTTGGGTGAGGATAATAAATAAATAGAAACTTTAAAAAAAAAAAGGAGTACAAATTGGTAGTTACAAAAATAGTCACAGGAATATAAAGTTCAGCATAGGGAATATAGTCAATAATATTGTAATAACTATGTATGGTGTCAGATGGGTACTATACTTATAGGGGTGATCACTTTTGAAGTTATGTAAACGTCTAATAGCTATGATGTACACCTGAAACTATTAATATTGTATGTCAAGTATAATTTTTAAAATTGTTTTAAAGAAAGCTGTGCAGCCCTGGCTGGTGTGGCTCAGTGGTTCAGTGGTTAGAGTGTCAGCCCACACACTGATGGGTCACAGGGTTCAATTCCTAGTCCAGGGCATGTGCCTGGGTTGCAGGTTCGATCCCCAGCCCCAGTCAGGGTGCATGCAGGAGACAGCTGATCGATGTGTCTCTCTCACAACAATGTTTCTCTCCCCCCCCGCCCCCGCTTTCCACTTGCTCTAAAAAAAATCAATGGAAAAAAATATCCTTGGATGAGGATTAACAAAAAAATGTTGTGTAGCTATAGCCAATGTGGCTCAGTTGGTTGTGTGCTGTCCCATACACCAAAGGGTGGAGGGTTTGATTCTCAGTCAGGGCACATATCCAAGTTGCAGGTTCGATCCCTGGTTGTGGCATGTAAGACAGGCAACCGATCAATGTTTCTCTCTCTCCCCCTTCCTCTAAAACCAGTTAAAAAAAAATGTGTAAAAGTTGTGTACATTTAAGTACATAGAAATCTCTTTTATTGACTCCATTAACTAAGATTCACCCAAATTATCAACCTATAGATGTACTTTCTTTTTAATTTTCTGAAAACAAATAGAAATATATGGAAAATGTTAATCTAATCAGAGCCTCATAAAATCATATGACGTATATTATTTAACTAATAGTTGCTGAGTGTCTACTAAACTAAAATACAATGCTAGGCACTGCTCCTATTGTTTAAGGATAATTGTTAGGATTACTTTGCACAAGGAATACTTCATTAGAAGAGTTTTATTAAAAAGGTAAAGGGGCCCTGGCCGGTTTGGCTCAGCGGTTAGAGAGAAACCCAGGTTTGGTTCTCACGAAGGGTGCGTACCTCGGTTGCTGTTTGTCCCCGGCCCTGGTTGGGTCGTGCAGGTGGCAACCACTCGATGTGTCCCTTTCATATCAATGTTTCTCTCTCTCTCTCTCTCTCTCTCTCTCTCGCTCCCTGCCACTCTATCTGAACAAAAATGGAAAAATGTCCAGGGGTGAGGATAAAAAAAATAAAATAAAAGGTAAAGAGGCCCAGCCTTTGTGGCTTGGTGGATTGAGCCCCATGGACTGAGGTCCCAGTTTGACTCCTAGTCAGGGCACATGTCAGGGTTGTGGGCTCGATCCCCAGTAAGGGGTGTGCAGGAGTCAGCCAACTGATGTTTCTTTCTCACATTGATGCTCTCTCCCTTCCTCTAAAAAATCAATAGAGCCCTGGCCAGTTTGGCTCAGCGGTTAGAGCATCGGCCTGCGGTCCGGAGAGACCCGGGTTCAGTTCCCGCTAAGGGCACGTACTTCGGTTGCAGTTTTTCCCCGGCCCTGGTTGGTTGTGCGGGTGGCAGCCACTCGATGTGTCCCTTCACGTCGATGTTTCTCTCTCTCTCTCCCTCCCACTCTATCTGTACAAAAAATGGAAAAAATATCCTTGGGTGAGGATTAAAAAAAAAAAAAAAAAATCAATAGAAACAATTTTTTTAAAAAGGATTAAGAGCTACAAATTGCTAGTCACAAAGTACTCCTGAGGATGTCAAGTACAGCATAGGGGATATAGTGAATAATATTGTAATAATTACAGGGGGGGGGGCAGAAGTAGGTTTATAGTTGTGAGTACAGTTTATTCTTGTATTATTATTTATTAATTATTGTACTGATTTCCATATGAATAACTGTAAACCTACTTTTGCCAACCCCTGTATGTACAGTGCCAGGTGGGTACTTGAACTATCAGGAGGACCATTTATAAAGTATATGACTGTCTAACCACAATGCTGTACACTTGAAACTAATACAAAATGATATTGAATGTAAAAGAAATAAAATTTAAAAATTTTAAAAAGAAGTGTTTTATTCAAAACAAGGGTTTTAAATCCATATAGCTAGTAACATTTACTAAGCAAGTATTTTGTGTTAGACTCTCTTCTTGGAACCTCAAATATTACCAATTCATTTAATCCTCATAATACTTCTAGGAGGTAGTTACTTTATTAGCATTCTCTAATTTTCACATGAAAAAACTGAAGCCTCACAGGTAATAACTACATCTGAACAAAGCTCTTACTCTTTATTTGTTAAATTTTATGTTGGGTTTTTTTTTTTTTTTCAGGGAGAGTGGAAAGGAGAGAGGGAGAGAGAGAAACGACTGGAGCCAGGGATTGAACCTGCAACCTAGGTACATGCCCTTGGCCAAAATCAAACCCAGGACCCTTCAGTCTGAGGGCCAACACTCTAACCACTGAGCCAAACCAGCCAGGGCCAAAGCTCTTGCTCTTAACAACTGTGATATTCTGCTGCTAACAAAAGAATTGTTCATAAAATTATCAGGAAAGGCAAATCTTATCTGTTGAATACTAGGTCATTGCCCTACAATTAAAAATTGTTTTCCAGGGTTTCCTTACAGTACTTCCTGTTGTCTTGCTTTACAGAAACTTTACCAAGTCTCCTTTTCAGTGTGTCTGAATAGTAGCTTTAGTAATATTTTGTTATTGCTTTTAGCCAAAAGTAATAAAATCTGATCCTACTGACATTGGTTATTTGTTAATCACTTTTGGAATCTTTTTGCTCCAGTAACCTTTTCATTTGCAAGTGAAGATAATTATAATCTCATCCCCAAATTTCACCCCCATTGCCATTATTAAATGACCAGAATTTGAAGTCTTATTATAGATAGATACCATTCCATTTTCTTCTTTGCCATTTTTCAAATTATAAAGAATGCTCACTTTTTGCACCAAGTGAAAAAAAAAATAAAACAATGCATGAAGAAAAAGCTAACTTTGCATCCATTACCTCACCCCTAATGCCACTCATTGAATTACCCCGCAGGTGCCTTTTAGGTAACAAGGAAAGAAAGGATATACCCAACAGTTATGTCCTTTCTTACTTTTCTCCATATATACAAGGATATGCATTTTTTTGCTTTGTTTGTTTTCACTGAAATAGATACATACAATATACATCAACCTACAACTTGCTTATCATCACATAATATACCATGGAACATACAGGTTACATGCCATAGACATAACTCTTTTTCATG